TGCCTTCGAATCCTGGCAACTGCCTGGACAAGGCCCTGCAGTTTTCTTGGCAAGGTTTTTTGGAAGTGGTTTGCCATTGCCTGCTTCCTAGGGCAGAGAAAAAGTGACTGGCCAAAGGCAGGACTAGAATTCAGTCTCCTGGTTTCTAGCCTGGTGCCTTAACCAGTGGACCAAACTGGCTCCTCTGTATAACTTTTAGTTAGGAAATATGATTGCTTCTTCCCTTAATATGTTGCCAACTGACACAGATACCATTTCTTCTCTAGAACATAAGTATACCAAAAGGAAGCAAGGCTTTCTTTACAAGGACCATAATTATTCTAGTTTCTCAAATGAATTTCATGAAACTGCAATATGACATTCTAGATATTGGATGGGGCTGGATGGGAATATGCTATGAAGTATGAAATACAGTTGGAATATATCTTGGGGCAGAAAGATTTAATTGCTCGCCTCTGAGTTTTCATTAGATGTACTGTGTACATTGTTTTGGCTCATGTAGGTATCATTCCTGTTCAGCGATCGTGGCATTCCAGATGGGCATCGTCACATGAATGGCTATGGGTCACATACTTTCAAGCTAGTGAATGGTTGCGGCAATGCAGTATACTGCAAATTTCATGTAAAGGTAATTATGCCCTATTGTTACCATTTCTCTTAAGTTCAGCCATCAAAAGGCTGTCCCTCTCTACTCCATGTGATTCCATATATCTTTTTTCTTTCAATCTATATTGGCCATTTATTTAATTGCTAGGAAAAGCCACTTCTTGCATTCATATCTGTTCCTATTTCAAAATAATAATAGCAATATTATTTTTAGCAACATGCTTATTTCTTCCTTTCCTTCTCTTCCTTACATTGGAGAAGAATACTTCTTCACCCATAGTATTGTTTTCCTACATGCAATTTCACAATATATCTTTGGACCTAGATTTGTTTCTTGTATAAACCCTCTCTTACAGTGGATTTTTAAACTGAAGTCTGCTTTAATGCAGATTATTGTTATTGGGTTGAGACATATATTAAGAATAACTTTCTATATTTAGTAATTGCTAGTCTAAAATTACTAATTAATATTCTGATTGATTTTCAATATTTTTAGACTGATCAAGGAATTAAAAACCTTCCTGTCAAAGAAGCAGAAAGACTGGCTTCTGAAGATCCTGACTATGGCCTGCGTGATCTTTACAATGCGATTGCTAATGGAAACTTCCCCTCTTGGAGTTTCTATATCCAGGTTATGACATTTGAACAAGCTGAGAGGTTTCCATTTAATCCCTTTGATGTAACAAAGGTGAGTATATTTTTGTGTCCTTTTCTCCAGCATACATCACTTAATAGAAAAGATATGTTTCTATATCTTACAAGTCCAAACTGAATTGATATTCATTCAATGTCTGTCAAATGTCTGTCATATTTTCTAGGTTTGGCCTCACAAAGATTATCCTCTCATTCCTGTGGGAAAAGTTGTCTTAAACCGAAATCCTGTCAATTATTTTGCTGAAGTGGAACAAATGGCCTTTGACCCAAGCAACATGCCTCCAGGAATTGAACCTAGCCCTGATAAAATGTTACAGGTAACCAGAATAGAATCTTTCAATTCATGTAATTGTGAGAATAGGCTGCATACAAATGTTTGTAAATCAGTCTCTCAGTAGGATCTTTTACAACAATGAAAATATGGCAACCTCAGTCTGTCTGGTATTAGAGTTTTTTTCTTTGTCCCATACTTTTCTTTCGTAGTGGTTTGTTTTTGTTTTTGTTTTTGTTCCCACCTCTGAATATTAAATTGATAAAAAAAACCACATTCATTATTTGCATCTTAATCACTAGCAGAGCTTGACACAAGGAAGTTGCTTGGTCAGCACAAGACACCATTCTAAATATATTTCATGAGATGAAAGACTGTAGATTTTTTGGTTTAATTATGTCATTTCATGATTAATATATGATAACATTCAAAACATCCTGTAAAAGCTAGACCTAAGTGAACTGAGGTTGACTCTTCCACTGCTTCAGCCTCAGAGGCTCTGGGCTTGTCAGATTATAAATTACTTAAGAAAAGAAAAGAAAGCATCTGAGGGGTGCTGAAGAAAGCATCAAAGTCATATTTCTGATTGCGTTGCCAGTTTCTGCTATATTAAGCAGATACCTTTGGTCTGATTCCACAGATTTGCTTCTGGGTCACGTTCTTGACTTCTTTTCCTTCTGCAGGGGAGGGCCTGCCCCAGCTTCTCAAAAACAGTGGTGAAGCAGGCAGGGCAGGAAGCACTGAAGAAGCAGCAGCTAGGGAAAAGCTGTCCACTCCTCACTTTTACCCCTGTAATATATTTTCTAGGGTCGTCTTTTTTCATATCCGGATACCCACAGACACCGCCTGGGACCCAACTACCTTCAAATTCCTGTAAATTGTCCATACCGAGCTAGAGTGGCCAACTACCAGAGAGATGGGTTTATGTGCATATCTGATAACCAGGGTAATTCTGAATAACATTTGGAAGCTGGGCTATGCAAGTAATTTAGAGTAACCTTTGCAGGAACTTTTTCTTCATTTACACCGACACCACAGATTAACTACTTTAACTGTTTAAGCTGATAGCCGTTTTCTGCATTTTCATTTTATTTTATGTTATTAATTTCTCCCTTATTTTTAGTATATGGATGTGTAAAATGTTTAGATTTAGCCTGATTCAGTATGCCCAGCAGCCAAAGTCCCTGCTGTACGCACACATACATATACACAAACACACATTTATATTGGTCTTTGACTATAATAAAGATTTGATTTGATAAACACACATTTATTTTATGTATACACACGCATGCGCACACACACACTGGGGGGGCAGGTGGGTGGTTACTGGAGATTTTATTTCTTTTAAGAAAGTTTAGGCTTATACTACAGTTTTTATGTGCTTTTCATCTCAAACTGGTGTATAACTGAAATGAGGTAGTATATCAAGGCAGAGAGCTTCAGAAAAAGCCTATAGTTTCTCCACCTCTGATTTATCACAATATCCAAGACATTCATTGATGTTGGCCCCACAAATGATTCTAAAACAAGCCAAGAGTTGGCATAATGAATGAATTCATTTTTTTTTATTACCACAGAAGCAAATTAATAGACCCACGACCATTGTACAATACAGTTGTGAGTCAATTAACACTATATACCTACAATAATTTCACATTCAAGCTTTTTTCCTTATATTATCAAGATAATTACAGGAACAGAGAATCAAGGCCCTAAATAGTTTTGTTTGTTCTGGGAATTGGAGCCAGCTAATAGACTTGGTTTGAGGGAATTCAGTTCTCTGAAAAGGGACTGTAAAAATGCCATTAGCTTGCTAAAACAGATTGGCTGTGAGGCATTGTGGAACACTTGCAGACCTGATATTCTTGCATTATTTGCTGCTTCTACCCTGCCCCTAATATATAGTAATTTTTTTTTCCAGGTGGTGCCCCAAACTATTACCCAAATAGTTTTACTGGCCCTGAAGAACAGCCCATTATGAAGGAGAGCCGTATATCTACTTCAGGCGATGTACAACGCTTTAATAGTTCAGTTGAGGATAACGTCTCTCAAGTAAATAAACTAGAAATGCCTAATTATTTTATTTTGGAAATGAAATGAAATGAAATGGGCCTTGGAA